GCACTATAAAAAGCGCTACATGTGCCTTTAATGTTCTCATTAGGTTTGTGTGTTAGGTTATTTCCATTCATGACATTTAGTTCCAATTAAATATGTGTATATAGACATATTTTCATTCTTACTATATACAGTATATTAAACCATGGCCACACTATCTTTATCTTTCTCATTTGTGTTTCTAGAGGAATGGTTTTGAACACTAGAACCATGTAGATAGTGTATGGTACTAGACCATTACAATACAGGTACACATTAGTAACATACAGGTGAATTATTTTTATTGGTTATACAGTATATGATATCTGCATAATGCCATATAATGGGTTGTGTGCACGTCTGTATAGCACACAGCTTTTGTTTGCCTCTGCAATTCATGACAGAGCACTAGGGCCCTTACAGTGAACTCCTCATTTAATTTTAGGTTCTTCTTAATAAAGGAGCTAGGCTCGTGAGTATTAAACTAATGTGACACCACATTTCATTCTCTTTTCTATCCTGATGGATGTTCCCAACTGGCCTTGCAAGGGAATACTTCCTTCCTGTTATACCATGAAGCTACCTTCATAGAGAAAATATTAATGTCTAAAAGTTACTGACATCTATCACTCTGTCCCAATCCCCTCTGGCAAAGCATAAGACATGCTCATCCGAGAAATAATAACAACTGCAGTACATGCACTGTATATGCTGTTCTATAGATCTGCTCTGTAACTCAGGTTTTGGAATATATGTGTGACGGACTGCCTGGCACCCCAATCGGGTACCTCCCTCAATAGCTGCTTCGTAGTATCACCGAGTACTATAAGCACAGCACCAGACACCATAAACAGCATATCCTCACTTAGCCACAGCAGCTTGGCTGGGGTCTCGCCATCCCGTCCCACCCTAGACCAATATCTGGATCCAGCTCCCAGTGAGAAGACCTCTCCTCCAAGACAGTATAATAATCCAAAGAGCATTAACCTCTTAAGGACCAAACTTCTGGAATAAAAGGGAATCATGACATGTCACACATGTCATGTCCTTAAGGGGTTAAAGCAATTCTTCCCATCCCACCCCCCCACACACATGAGACAAGGCTTAATGCTGGGAAGTAGTCTGTTTAATGCAAGCCAGCACTTACACTGTATACACACATTTAAACCCCAACAGCCTCATTTACATCCAATAGGTTACATAGAGCACTATAGTACAAGGAAGGGTGGGGTCAGACAATAGCAAGGGCTGATGGGAGATTGATGAGAGACAAAGTAGCTAGTTTAAGCTGGTCTGGCAGTGTCCCTGGGACAACGCCCTGCTGGGGAAACAATAGAACAGGAAAAAGGGGGAGTGGGAGAGGCACAGACAAGCAATACATTCAACATACTCCTCCTCTGTGTCTGAGAAATAATTGAGTCAGGAACTGTACAAACTCATTTATCTCCAGGAACAGAAAAACACACAATTTACAAACACCCCAAAAGTACCCCCAAGATCCATGGAAACCCCACAAGTGTCACATCCTTGGATAGCCCTGATCTGGGTGACCAACATATCCAAAAATGACCCAGATCGGTTCAGTGGTTTGGTTTTTCAGTGGAAGTCGCTTTTTAAAATGTCTTTTTGCAGGGCCCATAATGCTGGGGCAAGAGGCTGGCAAGCAGGCCCCTCCAAGTACCAGTGGCAAGGTTACTTTCGCCACAAAATGCCAAACTGCAAGCATAGCCATGTACGCCAAGAACTGATTGACATGTGAAGAACTAATTTTATTTTAACATTGGTAGCAATTGGGGCAGCACAATGTATATGTTAAATATCAAATGCAAATGCAAATACAACACAGGTTAATATATATATATATTTTTTTTTTAGGATCAGGTAGGAAAGACTGAAACGTCGGTCCATCCTCTTTTAATGAATCTTCAATAAAGAATTTATATTTTATCTTCAAAAGTCTGTGATGGCTGGTCGTCCTCTTATACTGGATATATTGTTTTTCCCCCTGCCTTCAAGCAACCGGCTACTTTAACTAATAGCCTGAGTGCAAGGACTCTTTGGAATATATATATATATATATATATATATATTTTTTTTTTTTTTAAATCCCAATAGATCATATAGATGAGAGGCACTCCAAGGACTTCAAAGTAGGGTAAAGTAAAACGTAACTTTTATTCAACAAATGCTGCAGAGGGATTTAGATAGACTGGGGGACTGGGCATTCAAATGGCAGATGCAATTTAATGTTGAAAAATGCAAAGTTATGCACTTCGGCATAAAGAATGCACAAGCAACGTATACCCTTAATGAAAGCGAATTATGGATAACAACAAACAAAAAAGACTTGGGAATTGTTATATACAACAATGTGCAATGTCAATCAGCAGTGGCTAAGGCCAGTAAGGTATTGGCATGCATGAAAAATTGCATTTATTCTCGGGATGAGAATATCATTTTGCCTCTTTATAAATCACTGGCAAGACCACATATTGAATATGCTGTGCAATTTTGGGCATCTGTTCTAAAGAAGGATATTATGGCACTAGAAAAAGTGCAAAGGTGGGCTACAAAATTAATAAAAGGAATGGAACATATCAGCCATGAAGAAATGTTAACAAATTTAAACTTCTTTAGTTTAGAAAAAACGTCGCCTGAGAGGGGATATGATAACATTATACAAATATATTCAGGGCCAATACAAGCCATTGTGTGGAAATCTATTCACAAACCGGACTTTACATACGACGCGAGGTCATGTGTTTAGACTGCAAGAAAGAAGATTTTGTCTAAGGCAAAGGAAAGGTTTTTTTACTGTTAGAACAAGAAGGATGTGGAATTCTCTGCCTGAAGAGGTTGTTTTATCAGTGTCCATACAGATGTTCAAACAGCTACTAGATGCATACTTGCAAAAACAGAATATTCAAGGATATAATTTTTCAATGTAGGATAATAAATGATTGATCCAAGGATAAATCTGACTGCCATTCTGGGGTCAAGAAGGATTTTTTTTTCCTAGCGTGTTTCAAAATTGGAAGTGCTTCAAATTGGGTTTTTTTGCCTTCTTTTGGATCAACCGCAAAAAACAAATGTGAGGAAAACTGAACTTGATGGACGCAAGTCTCTTTTCAACTATGTAACTATGTAACTTTACCTTACTTTGAAGTCCTTGGAGTGCTTTCTTCTATATGCAGTTTGGATAATCTTGCAGACCAGCACCGGGCTATAATACATATATACATATACTTATATGTACATATATACACACACACACACACACATTTTCTAATATTAGTGGCACAATTATTGAATTTTATTTTAGTAAACCTGGATGACTACAAACAGGAAATTGTGAAGCTATGACTTCCTGCTTCACAAGGGTATAAATATGAGGCAACCCGTAGGCCATATTACTTTGGTCATTCATCACAATGAGTAAGACCAAGGAATATACAGTAGCTGTGATACACGACTGGATACCAACTTATTTTATAGAATTTATACAAAATAACTATTGTATGGCTATTTTAAACCAATATACTCTCCAGCACATGTTTTTCATTGGTGCCCCTAAGTAAAATCATGATTTGTCAGTTTAACAGATTAGTGTCAGGGCTGAAAGCTCCTATGTTTAACTTTTGTCATCACATTCGGTGATGAAGAAAGCACAGTTTCCAGAATATACCAGGTCAGCTCATGGAAATTAGTCAATTACGTTTTATACTAGTGCTCAACACAAGGTCTTTACTGAGACCAAGCTCTTCAGAAACAATAGCCAAGAACTTAATTAAAAAAGTTTGTAGTCACAGAATTACTTCTCTCACACAAGGGTGATTTAATATGACAGTAACAAAAATGGACCCAGCCTTCAGTTAAGTAATAGCCTCTAAAAAGCCATGGTCAGGGTTCACTGTCTTATATAAAGTGTATTAACATTCTGTTCTAGTCAATCTTTTGGAAATGTTTATAAATGATATAAGAAATACTACAGTTTACTAAATAATTCAAATAGCTAATGACAATGAGTCAGAAGACAAAAACAGCATTTGCTCTGTTTGAAATACATAACCTTACAAGGCTGCAAAGAAGTATCATTTATATAATCTATGTTAACTCAAGCAAAATGTGTTGTGCCTTTTCTTTACAAAAAAAATATATAAAATAATGAAGGCTATGTATGAAAAAATGCATGCCCTAAAATAAATTTTATGAAAATATTCTGAGGATCTTTTTGTTTACTTGAAAAGTACTTTATTTGAAACCTTTATACAAAGATCTCAAATTACCTGTACATAATTTGCTTGAACCTTTTAAATGTGAAATACAGCAAAACACATATGTATTTTTTTGAAGTATACATTCTCCAGCATTCGTTTAAAAACAATTTCAGGAAAGCAGAAAAAAAAGTATCTGTAATAAAGTTATGCAAAATGTGGGGGGCGGGGCCTGACTGCCGGCGGGATCAGACGTGCTCTGTCTGAGCTCCCGCTCCAGGGTCCCAAAATCCGAGTTAGCTGGAGGCCAACCGCGAATATAGACCCACGACTGTGACCACGCTGACCCCCAGCAACCGGATACACGGGGATACCGCCCAAGCACCGACACAACCCGACAGGGGCCCGGAGCTTGCTGGAGCTTGAGCCGGGACGAGACGGCCGCTCTCCTGGGTCTCCGCCCGGCGTCTCGCTTCCCCCCTCCCTCTGGACAGGGGGGATAATCTCGGTCTGCTAGGGTGCTAACCATCACACCAGAACGGGCCCGGGCAGCTGCCCTGGCGCGCCATATCCACCAGTCAGCACCCCATAGGAGAGCCGTAAGATGGCCGTCGCGCGCCAGTAATGCGCACGAACGGCCAGTTTGACCGAGAGGTCTGAACGTGGGCAGAGGGCCAAAGGAGACTTAGCCCCAAAGCATCGACGGACACACCAAGAGGCCCCACAGAAACCAACAAAACACTCACCTCCCAGGCGGATTCCCATCCAGCAGCAGCGGCCCGAGGCCCCGGTAATGAGGAAGGCCCCAAAATGGCGGTGTGCACCGCACCAGCAGCAGGCACCACATGGACAGACATTAACGATTTCTCAGCCTGTCGACGCACCTGTGATAGTGGAGGTGATATTGACCCTTGTGAGTGGCTTTGCCCTACAGCTCCCTCTGAAGCAAAGGAGCCCAAGACAGCGGCACACCGTATCAGCGCCGGTCCCCACAAACTGAACGGGGATGGACACTCACCGACCAAGCGTGAGAACCAAGGATTGGCTAACTACCACCAAGCTGGACAGACCGATAAACCCAGAGGGTGTCAGCTGAGGGGAAAAGTACTAAAGGACGTGTGGAGCTGGAGACATGCCTAAATAATCCACCACCTCACCTTTTTTTTTTATCTACATCAGTGCAAAAGACTCACACTTCCCATCAGGGGGAATAGGCTGAATTTAAGCCCGCTGCCTAAAGCTGTACCGCCATTGTGGGACTAACAATAACCACTACCAACGATTGCCACTGCTGGGACTTGTAAATGTGACTCTCACACAGGTCTGCCTGACTGGGTATCACATACACATGTATGCTGCAGCTGTCTAACCATTATGTTTTTAGCACATGTAACGCTGTCCTTTTTTGTTGCTCCTCTGACTGCTACTCTCAGATATGCTCCTCCGGTTAACTGACCAAGTGAGACTCTAAACTGTAGTAATTTTGGCTGAAGTATTAAAGGTTACTCATCATACTCTTAAGCGTAACTAAATTTATTATATGCATGTCTAGCCTAGAATGTTTAAAGTGGCTACTAACGTTACACAGCCTGTTATTTTACAGTTAATCGATAAGCCTGTTTAACCTTTAACGAGCAGTCGACTGATATTAGCCTGTTAGAATCATACTAAATAGATAAAGCGGATTATCAATCTTACGTTTAACTATTAACACGCTTAATTACTTTAGCATGTAATATCATATAAGCAATGTTCACAAGCCTGTTATATTCATGTTTAACAAAAATGTGCAAATGTATAATGCCCACGAACATGTCTGCATTAAACTGCCTGTGTCTGCTGCCGTGGCTACACGGGCCTGCCTGTAAAATCTTTTGCACCAAAGATAAAGAATATAAAAAAAATAAAAAAATATGCAAAATGGAATGGGAATCCAAAAGTTGTTTTTTTTATGAATTATAAATCATTAACATTTAAATCAGTCTGTGATTCTAAACAAAGTTTAAACTACATATGGGCCTTCAACTTGTATTATCTAAATTTAATTTGCAAACATTTTGTGTGTTGGTGCTTTTTCTAGTGTTGTTCACGGCAATGGCACTCATAAGGTTAAATGCTCTTCTGTTTTTTTGTTTTTTGTTTTTTTTCCGAACAAATATTTAATCACATTAATGTTACAGATTATCCAAAAAATATGAATATATTTTTCATACATTTAGTGGTACATGATCTTATTCACTACAGAGGGTAAATGTCCAAAGTGCATGCAATCACTTGCTTCTACATGGTCACATTTATGCCTAATCAATATGCTAATATTACACTTGCAAAACAGAATACCCTAGTGTGATTTGGCCCATGCTAATTTTAATACAGTGCTTATAATTTGTATGATGTATGCTAAAATATGTTAAATTATTATTCTTCAGTTCTACACTTTGCATAGCTTACTTTGATAGTTGGAGTTTGTTCGTAGACATAATTCTGTTCTCTGGATAAATTGCCCATTTTACGTTCTGATTTCAGAAGTAGTGAGTCTGCTGCTTGTTCTCTACTGTATGACTGGGCCTGGTGCTGACAATTATGATGGGCCTAATTACAGAGTTTTATCGACAGAAAACACTAAAACAGTCATACCTCCCAAGTGTCATGTGCATGGTGGAGGTGGTGCTGGAGGGAAAGTCAAAGGATGTAGCTATCAGAAAACATATATCCTATGCTTATCTCTCACGTTCATCTTTCAAGTAAATCCATACCCTCTAACAGCAGTGTCCAATGAAGCAGGGTAAAAGGGTGGGCCACTGATGCGAATCACATAAGCAGAAACGCACAAAGGGATGAACATGCCCAAAAAGGGGCATGTATGTACAAAGAATTAGAAGGTCAGCCTGGCGTGAATGCATGTCAGGCTGCCTGCCATCCATGAAGGCTGGTCAATAAGAAGTTAAGCTAAGTTCTAAAAGTAAAGCAATCACTTTGGAAACCAATGGAATTTTCAAGAATTAGTTCCAATGATGACTGCTCCATTTTAGAAAAGAGCTACGCATCACGTTTATAAAATCAACATTTTGTTTCATACAAATCCCTCATTATGCAATGCACTTGCTTGCTTCCATAGGTCACTCATGAAAAAAAAAATCAGTGGTAGGCTGTCAATATTAGACTTTCTTGGAGAGTAAGAATTAGAGGACACCTTTGGTATCAGCACAGACCTGAATAATAAATTACAACTACGTAGGATTTTGCTTTGTGTCTATTTTTGCACAAACTAACTTTTATGCATTTAGGATAGGGTTGTCTAACCATTGCCAAAGTAAATATAATTGATGTCAAAAGTATCATATGGTCTCCAGTTCAGGAATATTCTTGAGTTTGCATGCTGCAACCACCTTCTTCAAATCCCACCAGAGATTTTCTTTAGGGTTCATGTTAGGTGACGGCAATGGCCACTGAAGAATTTTCAAGGACTTCTTCTGCAACCAAGCCTTGGTGGAATTTGAGGTATGCTTGGGACCATTGTATTGTTAGAAGGTCCAATGATGCCCAAGTTTCAGTTTCCTCACAGATGGCATGACACTTTTTCCTAGGATTTCCTGATACTTTAATGAATCCATTTTGATTTCCACACACTGCAGGTTTCCAGTGCCAGAGGATGCAAAGCAGCCCTAGAGCATCATTGAGCCACCACCATGCTTGTAGGCAGAGTGCTCTTGTCAGCATTTGCTTCATTATTCTTCCTTCATACCACTGAGCCACTGAGCCACTGAGCCAAAAGGTCCAGTTTTGTTTTATCGCTCCACAGAACAGAATGCCAAAACGTCTGTGTCTTATTTATATGGTTTTGAGCATATTGGAGCTTGTGCTTATGGGTCAGTAGTGGTGAACGTCTTTGTATTCTGGCATGGAAACCTACTGAGTTTAGTATGCTCACTGAAACCACAGTGCCTGTTGCCACCAAGTCCTGCTGCAGGTCTTTTGCAGTCAGGTTGAAGGTTTTTCACAACCTGCCTTTTCAGAAATCTGGTTGCAGCCTTTGATAGCTTCTTTTTTATGCCCTATCCAGGTAGTGTAACCACTGTTCCTTCAACTTTAAACTTGCAAACTATGCTTCCAGTGGTGTGTCTAGGAACATTCAGTGCCTTCGCTGTCTTTTTGTATCTTGTTCCTTGTTTGTGAAGGGCGATGATCTCTTCTCTTAACTTTGTGGACCATTCTTTTGACTAACCATTTTTCCAACATGCAGTGAAACTCAACAAACCTCTAGCTAATTCAGGTATTTCAAGTGTTCTAGTTCAAGCACACCTATACCAACTAATGAAGCACTTAATTAGTTGCACCAGTTGTGCTTGAGACAACACCTTTATTGCATATATGTGTTGTTTTGAGGGATTCTGTTCAGGTGGTTGAATAATTTTGAGACGGGAGAAGTTATTATAAGTTGCATTTTCAGTTGAATTTGGGTAAACCACTTGAAGCATTTGTAGTGTTCAGCTATTTCAGTTTCTTTTGTTTGAGTTGTTTATTTAATAACAGTTGAAAGTCTGTAAATGGTGACAATAAACCTGGGGGTTGAATAATTTTGATTACAACTATATTTATGTTATATATCAAAAAACAAGAGAGCGCAAAAAAACTCAAAATTAAAAATAAAATACACAAAATATAAAAAAGCAGCTATGCACGCAAGAAACTTCCTTAAAATTTCACGACCAACAATATTCAATAAAGGTGTCAGCGCTCTAGTGGAAAAAAACCTTAATTACACAATCCGGGTAATCCGCATATTATCTCTGAAATAGAAACAATGGTATATGCACCTGTAAAATTTGTAAAAAAAATTACTTAAAGTAAATCAGCAGTATATATATCACAGCATGTACTATTTCAAAATACATTAAATACAATAATGTCCAAGAGGCCTTGGGTAGTTAGTAGGGGGTGATGTTGCCATACAGGTTGGATCCACAGGCTCAGAGTGCACTGCTTGCAACAATGTTCACAGTACCTTGAAAAAATATACAAAGAGATCCACATAGCGTAACACTGTATTTATTGGCAGATTTTTAAAAAAAACTCTCCCCCAAAAGGAACCCTTACATTAATGTGTTGTGTTACTTGTTTCCAAGAAAACACAAAATGAGATTGGTGTACAGTAGTTAAATGAGACTTTACCGCCCGGTCCTCCTGTCATGCAAGTTCTGGCTGAGTATTCTAGCCAAAGAACGATGAACTGGTGCTGGAAAAAAGCCGTAGCTGGAAGCCGCTACTCTCCTACCAAACTGAACAATTGTACTGGCGCTCGTACTTCAACGCATTTCGCCCATATCCTGGCTTTTTCAAGATAGTGCGGCAGCCACTTAGAGCGTTCTTATATATACGCTCGTGCTTGTCAGTTTTTAAAGTGCCACGTTGCCTAAAACAGTTATCTATTATTTTTGCATGAAAAAGGCTCCCCCTTTTGTTATATAGTAAAACAAGGGCTATAAGACACATAATAAAAAGTATAAAAATGGACTGTGTCTCAGGTTTTGGTGGTCGAAAGCTGTGTACTAGTTTATCCTTAATGGTTGATACACCCCTAAAAATTACTCTCGGCTTGTTTGCTAAAAATAAAGCTATATATTCAGAGATATTCAGCTATATTTCAGAGATTATATGTGGATTACCCGGATTGTGCAATTAAAGTTTTTTTTTAACTAGAGCGCTGACACCTTTATTGAATATTGTATTTATGTTATAAATATGAACAACATAGCCACCAGAAACTTAACTTTCAATCTTGCTTGTATAAGCCCTGTGACAGCTAACCCCTGGGTTCCTCCTTTACAAACCCCCCTAGGTAATATGTATGTACTATAAATTGGGTTTTAGCTAGATCCTAGAAAACATGTGAAAAACAACCATGGTGTGGCAATGTATTAATGTAATTCAATGTTTTGACATGAAATGCAATCACAAGATAGTCACTTGACAGGTGCCTCACCTCGATATAGCTAGGTGGCTTTAAGTACTCTGTTTCTTTCACAT